ACAGACAGACAGACAGACAGACAGACAGACAGACACACACACAGACACACACACTCATCTCTGGAGAGGGATCTGATTTCTCCGCCTCTCTTCTTACCTTTTCTTCCCTAAACTCTGCAGGATAAAGGAATCGATTCCTCCTCATCAGTCCAATCACATCACCTTTACTTCCTTATCTATGCAGAGGCTGAGTACTAAAAAGGATTGAAGGGTTCCATTCAGCAACAAAGCAGGAATACTGCAGTGTGGAGGGAGGAAAGCTAAGAGCAGTTTTAGTATGCAGCTCCCCTCATTAGTTAGATTGATGGCAAAATGGAGCAATGTGGCCAAATAAATATCAGGGATGCAGAGATGAGGAGAGGAGAGGATTTCTTTTGTCCAGCAGAGTTTCTCCTTGAGGGTTAAAGCAGTGGACTGTGACTAAGTCATTACAGTCATGCAGATCTCTGCTTCATTACCGGCCTCTGGTCACAGCTGCAGGACTGTGGTAATTTCAAAATGTCCTCAGAATGATGCAGAGGTGACTAACACTCCCAAGAGAACAATACATGACATGAAACAGAGGGTTTTCTGATCTTTTCTTCTTTAAGTGGATGAGTAAAACTACAAAATCAGCTCATGATATTTTATTTTTACCAAATTGTAAGGCTTACAAGTGACTGCCATGGCTGCATAAATACTCAGAGGATTATAATTTTTTTACGAGAGGGGAAATCGGGGGGGGGGCTCGTTTGCTTTCTCAGATAAAGCCCCTGCTGGATAAGTTCAGATTTTCCAGGGTTCAATGCATGTCTGAAAGCAGCTTTATCGTTAATTTGAGGGCAATCTCCTCAAGGCGAATATGGAAGGGAGGAATGATTACAGCTCCAAATGGCTTTTTCTTTCAACCTATTAAATGCTTCATTAGTTAGTCAAGCCAATTCCTTTTATGCAGCACCAGATCATAGCATAAGTTACTGTAGGACACTTTTTACATAAATCGGGTTTCAACCAAACCCTTTGTGATATAATTTACCAAAATTCCTTCATGAGCAAGACTTGTGGTGAGGAAAACTCTCCTTTAATGTGTAGAAGGCTCGAGCATAACTCGGTTTTGGGTGGATGAAATTCGGCCACAGCCACTTAGTTTGAGTTACATTATATTTTGCAACTTTCTAAGGTTAACATCATCGTAGGTTGAGGACATGTCAGGTAACACAAAGCTCTGTCCTCATGCCGACCTCACGTCACTGTGCTAAAGGAAGCTCCAGCAAGAATCTCCAACCAGCTGTCACACATCATAGCAGAGGTTATCTTCAAGCAGCACTCGTCCACCAGCATGACAGCAGGTGATGACGGTTACGTGTGTGTGTGTGTGTGTGTGTGTGTTTTGTTATGCACTATAAACACTGACAGCTTACTCAGCTGCCTGGACAAGCCTGAGGGTGTAGCCACAAAGATAAACACACACATTTGTATATGCAAAGACACACACCCAACACACCAGGTCTGAATGTGACTCTACTTGATTTGTGACTCCATGCTGACATTTATAAGATTATTTGGGGTATTTACCCAGATTTATTCTGACTCTAAGACTGTAACTTGTGTGTTAAGTGACGTTGTACTGATGTTATGGGTCTGAAGCTCAGTCATCCTCAAAGCTGAAATATCTTTGAGAATAACATGAACATCAATTACATTTAACACACTCAGACTGACTTTATTTGGCGTGTGAGAGGCTAAATGGTTGGTTTAAAGTGAAAAAATATGTCACTCATCATGTCTTTAATTGCAGCTAAGCACCAGCTGACCACTACACGTTTACACAGTCTCCATGTAGTCTTAATCCAGTCTTAGGCTACCTCCACACTATAACCTTTTAGTTTTAAAACCTATCACTGTTGCCCTATAGTTTTCAAGCACCTACAATTGAACGTTTAGATAACTGCTGGCCCCATTTTGGTTTGAAAACTCCTTCGAAGTGTTGCAGTGTGGACGGAGGAAAACAGACATTTGGAAACGATGATGCAGTCTCTTGCATTCACATTCTGATTGGTTCTCATCAGTCACGCCGCAACTACCAGCGATGTCCAAAGCGTACTTAACACTTCTAGTTGTCAATCATAGAAAAGTAACCCCTGCTCTTACTTTTCATCATTGTTGTTTCTCAGTGTTCTTTTCTGCAAGCATATGTTCGTAGTGTACATGAATGGTCATGTGATATTGGTTTCAGGTATGTTAGAATATATGGGGATTATTACTGAGCTAAAATGTGTAGACAATTTTAAAAGCAAAACTTATTAATATGGATGAAGCCTTAATAGGAGTTGTCTTCTCATTAAACTCATGCAAATATTTACTAAGAGTTTAAACAAACAAACTTTAAACATGATCAGTGTTCTTTAGCCTGAGAGTTTGGAAAGTACCTACAAACACAATATGGTTCAACTTTGAAGACTATATAGTTACACAATATGATGTGGTAACAACCGCATTAAACAAGCAAGTACTGAATATTATGATGGTTTTGAGTCACAGAGTGGCAGCGGAGGGAAATGCCAGAATTCACAAACCCTGTAAACACAGTTGTCCTTTTGAAACAAATTGTCATTTTTCAGTAGTTTGTATCATTGGAGAATTTAAGTTTTATCTTTGCAGGTAATGCAAAAAGCAGTCATATTTATGTTCTGTTTTTTCTTCATGATTCCAGTACATGGAAGTATTGACCGAAAACAAGTACAGATCCAATACCAGTTATATAATCTAACAGCGTTATGATACTAACCCTGTATGGAAGTGATGATTGCTATCATTGTTCCCTGGACAATTGCTGGCGCTGTAATTGTCAACACTGCTGCCACCCCTTGAAATGGAAGTCTTCCAGATCTAGCAGATCTAGAAATATTTCCAAAATACTGAATTTTTAGCTAGTTCTGCCAAACTCTACACTACCAGGAAAAAAACTTATTTTTCACCACTCTTAAAACAGCCCTTGCCATTGAGAGTACAGCGCAACTGCTCATTTACATTCACATTCTCACCGGTGCCCAACCCAGCATTTTCTGCAGTATCCGAGTTTGTTCCGATGCTGGTTTCAGTATTGGAACAATTCTAGTCACATTATACTCACTCCACCTCTTTCTGTGCTCCACATCAGCCTGTTTTTTTAAGAAAGAGACATTTTGCAGCCAGGTGCATCATGGGAAATCAGAGTGCTGTTGATCATTTTAGGCCGAGCTGTAAGATGTAAAATGTGAAACACGGAGGCAGTGTTGATTCTCCACTGATTTCTTGTATAACTGTGAGTTTTCCTGGACTCTTCCTTAAGATGTTTCTGATAAATAGACCTTTTTGTTGACCTGTCTACTTTCATTATCCAAAATTTGTTTCCAATAATTATCACAATAAACATGATTTGATTGATTCAGATTTGTAAAATGTTTGGCTCTTCACCAATTGTTTTT